AGCCCTCAGCTGCCCCAGGCCCTGTGGGCAGCTCTCCCAGGGGTGTGTGTGGCCCCTGGGAGTCCAGAGGCCGGGGTGGCCTTCTGCTATGCCTGGGGACGAGGCCGGGAGGCCCCTGAGACCCTCCCATTAATCTTCCAGTTGCAGAATTCTCTTCACTGCTGCACTGCCCTGGGGACACCCGTGCGACCTGGATAACAGAACCGAGATTGCTCGTGAGCTCATCCCGACTGACCGCCGCAGTGGTCCTCGGTGGATGAAGAGAGTTGCAGCTCAGGAAACTGAAGACACTGAGCTCTGGGGGCTCATCAGAGCAAATGGGCGCCGGGTTCAGTGTGTCAGAGGACACGGGAGTCCAAGGGAGAGGGACTGCCCCCCAGGCTCAGTGACTTGGTTGTGTCGGGACTTTTCCAAGGAAAGTTGCTCTTTGCCCCTAAATGTCCCGTGATTCTGCGGGGCTGATGATTTCTCAGTGGGCATCGGGCTCCACTGGGAGGGTGCCCTGGCAGAGCCTCCCCAGTCCCTTCAACCAACTGGTTGGCCTCTGGTCATGGGGCTTGGGGCCTCTGTGCTGGGTGATCCCTTGCGGGGTCCTCCAAGCATCATGCGCATGGTGGCGGGACCAGCGTGGAGAGGGCTGGCCTCATGCTCTCAGCAGGGGTACCTGGGCATTCCTGTTCCCCTGCTGGGTGCACCCCAGAAACAGCAGGGGCTTGCTGAGCCTGCTGCTTGGCTTTGAGAGCTCAGCCGGGTCCGTTGCCAGTGGAATTGTGTCCTCCAAAAGGAAACACTGAAGTCTCAGCCCTGGCACCTGGGACTGTGACCTTATTTGGAAATAGGATCTTTGCAGCGTCTACAAAGCTGTAAGTTAAGATGAGGTTGCCCCAGGGTGGATGGGCCCTCGGTCCACTGTGGCGGGGTCCTCCTGAAGGGGGACACACCGAGAAGCACAGTGCGCAGACCGCAGCTCCGCCACAGAAAGAGGCAGGGCCTGGGCTGAGGGAGGAGGGAGGCTGCCGCCCAGGGAGCTCAGCCATGCTGTGCAGGCCCGGTGGACCCCCACCCACCCCTCGGCTTCGCCTGCTCACCTGCAAAAGGGTCACCAAATATTCCTCTGCTGCCTTTTTTGTAAATAAAACTTTATTGGCACATAGCCCCACGCATCCTTCACTCAACCGTCTGGCTGACCAGGCACAACACGGTGCCTTGACCGTCCCCTGCTGACCTGCAGTCGCGCACTGTCAGAGTGCAACTACAGGAGAGCAGGCCAGGGCCAGGGCCACACAGCTTACTAGTGTGTCCCCTGCCTGTCACCAGCTCATAGGGCATTCTGGGAACTGGGGCAGAACTGCTCAGTGGTGTTCAGCACCTCGCCTGGCACGCAGTAGGCGCACTATGAACTTGAGCTGCCCCGGCCCCTGCCCATGGTCACACGAGGGTGAGGAAGACGCCCCTGAGGCCCGGCAGGACTGGGGCCTGGGCAGCTGGTCCTGGTTGGGCCACTTAGCTCTGGAGCAGCCGCCACTGGCGGGCCCGCCTCCGCTGTCTCTAGGTGAAAATTAAAGGATTAATGGACGCCGGCTTTGATAGGCTCAAGGCCACCAAAGCCCCTCAGCGGAGAGTTCCACATTCCCTCTTTCCCGTCCTCCTTGTGTGCCCCTGTGAGTGGTGGTGACAATGGCCCCCGGATGTGGGCCCCAAGGCCAGCCGCCCCAGTGCTGCCCGCCCACCCGTCCGCGGGCTATTGTCTGTCCGGGCCCTGCAGTGTGGCGCTGGGCTGGTGGGGCCCCGCGGGCAGGGGGACTGTGGGAACGGATTAGAGGTCCTGGGCTTTCTTCCCCGTCTTGCATAAACTCTTGATCAAAGACATTCCTGGGATGACAGAGCCCTGCGAGAGGCCAGCCCAGCATGCCCAGCGTGGGGGACGCGCACCCCGTGCCCCTGCCGGCCGGTGCAGCCTGCCGCAGCCTGCTGGCCTGGCCCACCGTGCAGGTGCAGCGTGCTCTCAGCACACGGCCTGCGGCCTGCAGACGGTGACGGTGATGGAGGGCGCAGGCAGAGGCCGCCATCCCAACAGATGTGAGGCCAGGCCCTGCTGCAGGGCCTTTTGGGAGGGTCACATCATGAGCGAGGACAGCACTGCTGCAGCGCCCTCGCTCCTCTGGATGCTGAGGGACACTGCCCACCCGGTCTTCCCCCCAGAAACACGCACGTGCCACTCTGCCAGCCTCTCCCCGCGTCTTGATGACCCAGGCTACTGCCTGGGCCCCGGGAGCCCGACCCTCCTCAGTGCCCACAACTCAGTACATTAGCTGAGACTGGCCTGAGGGTGACCCCTGGAGCCTCAGACGTAGGACTGGAGATCCCAAGACCTCCATCCCCTGGAGGGGCTCAGGACCAAAGCGGAAGGTTGCCAGGGCCACCTCTGTGGGTGTGAGGGTGTGGACGCCCTCATGGAGGCCACCTTTGTTTCGAGCATTGAGGAGCAAGCAGAGATGGTCAGGGGTGGAGGGCCAGGCAACGGCACAGGCTCAGAACCTGGAGCCTGGAGCAGTCGGGCGTGCCCAAAGCCCGGGGCAGAACCAAGGTCCAGGGAATGGAGGCTGGGAGGGCAGGGCCTCAGGGACCTCGGGCCAGCTGGAAGCAGAGAGGAGCCCAATGGGTTGTGGACAGAGGGAGGGGGGCTGCCTGGGCACTGGCAGGCTGGTCAGGGGGCAGGAGGGCCCCACCGACTGGGTAGCAGGGAGAGCTGACCAGCAAGGCTTCATCTCCAGAGACCCTCAGAGGGCAGGTCTTGCTGTCCTTCTGTGACTGGAGAGACCAGCACCCAGCAGGGCACCCTGGGGGGCGTCAGCTGAGCTTGAGGGCCAGGATCACAGTCTGGGGTGCCAGCGACATTGTGGGTTTCACTGCCTGGCCAAGGAGTGTGCTTTAATGGTCAGCCATCACTGTGGGCACCGATGCCAACGAGGAGGCCATCAGGGAACCCTGCCCTGGGCCCAAACCCTCCTCCACCCGACAGGGGCGTCCTCCTTGCGGGCCCCTCTGCCCTGCCCCTGGTGTGCTCCTCCCTGCCTGCCCGTCTGGGGGCGCCCTCCCCTGCCTTGCACCTGGGCTGTCCTCGCTGCTCCCCGACTGGACAGCAGGACCTAGGCCATGCTTGCAGTCACATGGGCCTAGGCTGGGGACCTGGCTTCCTGCCCCAACAGGGACCTAGTTCTGGTCAGAGCTGGGCCACTGCCATGGTGAGCCTGGCCGCTTCACTGTAGGTGGCTCTGCCCAAGGAGAAGGCTGGGCTCTCCTAAGTCATCGGAGGAGCCAGGTCGTGGCCTTCCCAGCTCCCTAGAGCTCTTGCTGTGACACTGCCAGGGGCCTCATCTGCCTTCCGGAACCCCCACCTTTAGGAGAGAAGGGCTGGCAGTGACCGTGGAGGCCAGGCGTCTCCTGCACACCCCACCTGCCACAGTCTGGCTGGGCACAAATGCCGCAGTCTGGCTGGGCACACAATCACGAGCCACCACACAGCTTGTAGATTCAAACAGCAACTCTTTATTCCCGAACTCACACCAGCCGTCTACAATCACGTTCTGGGGAAATCCACGTTCTCTGCCCAAATCCACCTCCACTGGGCTTCTATCTCCAAAATATACTATCTGAATCCCGTGAGAACTCACGGGGAACTCAGGCAGCAGGATACGCCCTATTCCCAGCAGGAATAATCTTAAACCTTAAACCTGGAACCTAAACCGGGAACGCCCTAATCCGCCTTGGTCCTTGAACAAGGTCACCTACATTCAATGTCACTGCAACATGGGGTACGCTGGCAAGGAAATTGTCATACCTACTTGGCTAATGGCTCCCAGCACCCACCTTCCTCTCAGAAGCGCGGGAGCCCACCGTGCACCACCCAGGCCACCCCTTTCCCCGGGGCTGGGACATAAGCTAGTCACACTCAGAAGCCAGAGGCAGATGATGCAGGGGTCCAGCAAGGCCTCCCAGGCGCTGTGTGAAAGGCTGCCCTGGTCTGTGGCCCTCATGCTGCGAGCTTTGGCAGCACCCAAGGACCATGATTCACCCAAAGCACACAGCAGTTTGCGCCAGGAGAGGGCCAGTGGACACGCCTCTGTTTACCTTCCCAGATGCAATAACCCAGGGAGGGCACACTGGCCGGTGAGGGCCAGGAGATGCTCCTGATCAATGGCACCGCTAGTATCTGTGGCGCCAGGACTGCTGGCTTGTGTGGTCCAGGTGCCACCTGCAAATTCTTGGGAATCTCCTGGGGTCCAAACTGCCCCTCCCTCCTGGCACCCCAGGGACTCCTCCCAGATGTGCACCTACAAGCTGGGTGGGGTCTGGCCCCCACCCATGAGAAATCATTTGACCACGTCAGCAGACACTGCTGGTGTCAAGGGGCAGGGCTACAGTCATCTAGCAGGTGGAGGTCAGGATGTCACTGCAGAGCACAGGATGACCTGGCCACGCGCCCCCTCCCTGTCTCCAGCCGGCCTGGGAAACACACAGGCAACACACTGGGGTTTGACCAATTTTATTTCTAGACTTTTCACGTTTGTTTGTGTCTCTGCTGGGAATGTGCCAGTTCCCTGTCTGTGCTGGGAAGCACCGTGTGTCCACCAGGCACAGACCCAGGCTGCTCACCACCAGACCCTCACAGGCTCTCGCATCACAGGACACACTGCTGTGCTCTGTGGACCTGCCACCAGCCTTTGGCCTTCGGGCAGTGTTCAAGACATCTGCCCCCACCCGCGACTATGGACACACCACCCACTTGAGAACCCTGCTCCGTTCAGGCAGATGCCGCAGCCAGGATGGTCGCGGTAAGTGGAAACGGGGCTCTGGAGGGCGGGTGGGCGGCCAGTCCTGTACCGGCACCTGCCAGGCCCCCAGCACAGACCCACCCCGCTGGGGCACAAAGGGTACAGATCCTTTGGGTTTGGCAGCTTGCTAGGGGACCGGGCACACGGCACTGTGAGCTGGCTTGGTTGAGATTTGGAGTCTTTAATTTAGCATCATGCTGTAATCAACAAACAAGAACAAACAGAACACTAGCACATGGAACAGAGGAAACGCACCCGAAACTCGAACAATTCCAGAAGCGATTCCAATCATCCCGATGACGAGTCCTACGGCCCAGCACCACAGTGGCACGTAAGACAGACTGGTATCACAATAATAATAACAACATGCAATGTTCGTAACTACACGTCAAGAGCGGCACAGCTGGCGAAGCTATACCACAATGGCACGTCCAGACCGGCCGAGCCCAGCACTACAGGCGCAGGTCTCCTGGACGTGGCCCCGAGGGTCGGGGCCGTCTTGGGATCCGTCTGTGTGTCTGTCCACGAGGCAGACAGAGCCGACTGGTGGGTCTACACATGGCTAAGTGAAGCATGAGGTATCGTGAACAGGGACCTTTTTGGAATAGAGCAGTAATCACATCAAGTCAAAATTGATCACATAAAAAAAACACTACAAAAAAGGGCATCTGTAATACAATTTTCTATGAGAAAATTAAAACGAGCACATGGCAGTATATGACATCGTAAAACAAAAACTGATCCTCCCATAGCAGCAAAACAACGTGAAAGAGATACAGAGAAGCTGTGGACAGTTTCCGACTGCGGGAAGTCACCGGTAGCAGCGCAATAGGAAGTGGAGCCACGGCCTGTCCCTCCTGTGGGCACTGCCCGTCCCCTCGGGAGCCTCCCGCCACACTCCTCCCTCACGTGCTCTCTCCAGCCTCCGCCTCCGCCTCCACACTCTTGCCACCTCCCCTCAACACGTCCTCAATGCAAAGGTACAGGGCCAGGATGGGCAGGGATGAGAAGGTCCTGGACCCCTCTCCTCTCAAGCACCCTTGCGTCCCTGTGCCTTGGGTGCCTCTAGAGCAGGCCACTTTGGGAACCGCCCCACAGGCCGAGTCCAGGTCTGGGCGGTCTCTCTTGAGATCTTCCCTCACCTACCAAAGGCCCCATCTTTTCACCTGCAGCTCAAAGGCAGAAAGGGTTGAGTGTTGAAATCAAGGGAGACTGCATCACGTTATAAATCATACTGGCCTTACAAGCATCCTCTGCAATAAATATTCTTTTTAGCCTTAACTATAAATTATATATTTTAGTGTTTAAAAACCTTCCGCTGTGAAATACCTAAAAGTAACCCTTACACTACTTGTTCTCTAGGTGAACCTTTGAGGTCCCTACTTTCAAACACCAGTTGGCACCAAAGGATTCCCGCGAACTTCGACCTCTCTACAGGACAGGAAGGGGCCTACATCCTGGCACTGTGACACGGACCTTTTTCTTCTTGACTGGTACAAAACCCTCAGGAACACCCTCTCGCTGACACCACGGGGTCACACCCTTGCGGTCCTGTGCACGCAGGAACGTGAATATTCCCCGCCATTCCACTGGGAAACCGCCCCGCACGTGACAGCGAAGTTGCCTCTAACTGCTGGACCAAAGTGCTTTGACATGGAACGGTTTAGAATTATCAAGAAAGAAAACACAAAACCCCAAAATGATAAGAAGAAAGTAGCTGTGGATTGAACCTGATGTGAACAGGCGGCAGGACCGACGGGCGAGAACCCAGCATCTCACGAGCAGGTAACTACAAAAATAGGAAGATTATAAAAATAGAATCTATCATGTCGCTCTTTGCTTCCCTCCACAGCAGCACGTGGTGGTGGACAGCTGGCCTTTCCCGAGCTCCCTGGCTGGCACCTGCAGACTGGTGCCCAGGTGGGGGTCCCCAGGCACAAGAGCCCGGGCCGCGCCCCACACCATGCCGACCCATCAGCAAGCTGCAGAGGTCACACGCCTACCTACCTAGGAGATAAACACACAAACGAGTGACTACGTGACAAGCAAGCGGGGCACAGAGCTAGGGCCTGGCGAAGCCGTGCCTCTCAGGGGAGCGGGGACACACTTCCTACCTAACCCTCTTCTACTTTAAAATGGTTTTTCAAATTTTTCTTTTTTCTTTTTTTTAAGAAGTTTTTATGCTTTTTTCTTTTCTGAACACACACAAAGAATCCGACCTAGCCCTCGGGGACCCTCGTGCGTGTTAATGCTATCCTTACAAGAGACACGAGCGCATTCACATACAGCTACTTGATTACGGAGTAAAATCCTCTATTTTGTAGCACAACGCCCCTCCCCCCACTCAAGGTCATGCAAATTCTATCTTTTCTTTCTTTTTTAAAGACAGTTTTCAGGATTTTTTTTCCTTTTCTTTTGCTTAAGTCAGAGACGGAAGGGAGAAAGAGGAAAGGAGAAGGAGACTTTCCCTTCTGTTAGCAAAATGTCCCCGAAAAGAGGGACTTTGCCTGGAGCACTGCGGGCGGCCCCTCCCAGGCTGCGGGGCTGCGGCCGCTGCTGGGTGCTCCGTGGTGCCGCCGGCGGGGCGCCTCAGACGTCCACGTCCCGCACATCGGTGGGCGTGCAGGCCAGGTCGGCCCCCGCCGCCTCCTCCACCTCCTCCTCGGAGGCCTTGGGGTCCAGGTTCTGCTGGGCCTGGCGCAGGCTGGACTCCAGCAGGGCTTCGATCTGCTCCTGGCAGGCGCGGAGGCAGTCCTGGGAGAGACGGTGGGAGGGAGGGTCCTAAGGAGGAGGCCCACACAGGACCTCAGCCCCAACGCCAGCCCAGGAACTAGTCACAGGTGCCACCTCTGGTCCCCGGCAACCCCTGGCCTGCTGACGTCACCTGGGAATAAATGCTTCCGCTTCTGCCTCTGCCACGAGACCGTGGCCGTCTTGTGGGAACGAACACACACCAGGTGTCCTCTGCCTAGCCCACCTCCCAGCAGACACCGGCTTCTTGGAATCCTCCAGAACCCTCACCCCCAGAGGCCCTCCCGGCCTCCAGAGGAGGCGTCTCCCAGCAGCGCCCTTTAGCTGTGCTTGGTGCTGGGTGGCTTCTGAGTGAATGAGCTGGCTGCAGTGTCAGGCTGTGTGTCCCCAGTGCTGGGATGTCACAGAGGTGGGCTTCTGAGACCCAGCAGTCTCTAGCCTAGGAAAGTCCTTCCCACAAGGAACAGGGCCCAGGGGTCACCTGGTGCAGCCTAACATCTCAAGCAGGGTGGCACTGCCAACCGCCCCAGGCCAGCAGGGCTTGAGGCCCCAGGGCCAAGTGCAGGGCTTGTGCCCCCCCCCCACCGTTAGCCGCTCATCACGGTGGACAGGGCGGCAGGGTGTGGTGCAGTCCCATCTTACAGATGGGAACACCAAGTCCACAGGCCTGGGGCAGGAGCCCTGGCAACCCCGTGTTGGAGGGGGCAACTGAGAGGTGCAAGAGTGGTCCCCGGGCTGCCACACCCTACCCTGGCTGTGCTCCCTCCCAGCAGCCCCACGCTGAGGTCAGAGTGGGGCTGGACTAGGCCTTCTGGGCACTTTCTGCCTTGTCCCTGTCCCCGCACTGTCCTGCCAGGCCTCCCCAGTGGATGGTGCCCTTTACTGGTGGCCAGAAGCCCCAGGCAGGGCTGTCTGCTCCCTGGTCAAGGGGCACATGGACGTTTCTGGAACACACCCTCTGCCACACTGGAGTCCTTTGTGGACTTGTCTGCCAAAGGTGGCTGCCCCCAGGAGGCCCGTGGTCTGGCAGGGGACTTGGGGAAGGCAGTTTGGGCCCAGGCCCCGGGAGGAGAGGAAGAGCCCGTGTGGGAGTGAAGCCCAGCTCGCCAGGGAGGAGTCCAGGGCCTTGCTGCCTGGGCGCTTTCTGAGTCCAGCTCAGTATGTCTGGCTGGGAAAGCCGACAGTCATTTCAGCCTCAACTGCTCTTCTGGTGCGCGTCATTAACATCTGATTAAAACAGTCTCTATTCACATGAGGGCAGCTGAGGCCCTTCCTGCACCGGCCAGGAGGCACCCACTGTCGGTCAGCGATGTACCCGGGAAGCCCTCCCCGAGCGGCCGCCGGGTGAGCAGCCTCACCCACGTGTTGGGGGTGGAACCAGGGCCCCTCGTGCTGGACAGGCACCCTGCCCAGAGCTGGCCCAGCCCAGCACTTTGTTTCTGTGGAGAGATTTCCTCTCCAGCTCTGTCCTTGCAGCTGGGGGACACTGCTGCTCCCCGCAGCGGCCAGGAGAGGACGACGCTCACCCCAAGCAGGTGAGGCCAGGCGGTGGGTGGGAGGGAGGTGTCTCACCCTCTCAGGGGTCATGCATAGGCTGGGCTGCCAGCTGTCCAGCAGGAACCCCGGGCTGGGGACAAGCAGGCAGAGTGTCTGGCTGGGACCCCCAGGAGCCCTCTAGACGCTCCCCGGCCAAGGGCACCCTCGGCAAGCCCACCTGGACCAAGCCAGGGTTACGGCCCAGGGCCACTCCCTCAAGCACACCGGGCAGAGCTGACCCCCAGCCTCGCTGGTCTAATTCACCTGGGCCAGGGGCCGGGGCTTCACAAGAGCCCTTTAAGGCGCTGCTTACTGGCCACGCACACTGTGGTCCAGACACAGCCTGGTGGCGCTGCCCCAGCCCCATGACCACACAGTTCATCACCAGGTGTGCGGAGCCTGCCTGCTGGTGGCTGTTTCTTCTCCTGCCTAATCCTGGAACTCCTAGTGGGGTGACAGCAGCCTGTGAGGACCCTCTGTCTAGTTGACAAGCCTCAGGCCCCCTGGGAGGGATGGGAGAAGCTGGCACTGTCAGCTGTGACCATCACAGTCCCTTAGACACAAATAAGTCCTGAGATCAGGGAGCGGTTGGGGGCCCAGGTCCTGCTCAGCACCCTAGACGGTCCTGAGCTGAGCAGGCCCCAGCCCGGTCATTCCCTGGGTCGCCCTAGCACCTCCCCGGCTTTAGACATCCCTCGCTCCCATCACTCACCGGGTCACACTTGATCACTCTGGAGAGGAAGTGGGTCAGGCGATAGCAGGACAGGAAGGTGTTGGGGCTGCCCAGGTGGAGGCCCTGCACTGCGGCCACCACGCTCCCAGCTGCCACCATGGAGGGTGGGTTAGAAATGAACTTCACGTCTGCAGGAAAGCGGGAGAAGGGGCTGTGAGTGGGGATATGGCAGGACCGCCCAATTCAGGCATGCTGGCCCTATGTTCAGGCCTTCCACACTGCTGGGCACCCGGACAGCAGGAGTCGCCGGGGGATAGCCACCAACGCCAGCATGCATGCCCTCAGAATCTGCTGCTACCTAGGAGCAGGGACTCCAGAGAGTTGGTCCATTCCAGAAGGCCACCGCAAAGCTACAGAGTGTGGACAGCCAGCCGCTTCCAAGTCCCTCAGCGACTGAACCCTGGTCAGCACCCAGCAGGGAGGGTGTGATGGGGCAGTCATGTTCCAGCTGCCCCAGGAGGGCCTGGCCTGGCGCTCAGCAAAGGAAGGAACCCTCTGGCCACCCACCTGGGCAAGGCCCACTCCTGCCCTCTGCTGTCAGCCCTGGTCAGCCACGGGACAGCTTTCTGCGCCTCCTCCCACACCTGACCATTTCCCCGCCTCCTGATCTCCAAAGTTGGGAGGCACACGGTTCATATCGTGGTTGCCACACGAGATGCCCCAACCAGGCAAGCGGGCAGCTGTGGCCAGCCAAGCAGAGCTTCCCAGGCAGCGTCACTGGGCCACAGCATGCCCGTGGCCCAGCCTCCTGAGGCCGAGTCCCGCCCCTTCCCTCCCTGGGTCCTAGGGACCCCACACTCCTGTGCCCCTGCTGGTGGGAGGTAAGCCCCAGTGCTGAGCCGGGCAGCCCATCTCACCTCCCCGAGTCACAGCAGGACGTCCCCTCAGGACGACACTTGGAGGTCCCCCCAGACCACTGCAGTCATGGGCACCCGCCTTTCTTTCCCGCCTGCCCCCATTCCAGAGCAGCCCGAGGGCCTGAGGGCCACCTTCTTGTTCTACTCCATGAGGACTTTCTGGTGGGGATGGTCACCAACTTCACCCAGGAACCTGGGCCCTGGGCCAGGCCTGGACGAGGGAAGGGACAGTGTGCATCTTGTCCACTCCCAAAGCCTCATCTCGTGCCACTGAGCGCCTGGGAACAGGGGTCTCAAGTGAGCTGAACAGCAGCCGGCTGGCCCCAGGGGAGGCCCCACCAGCTGGGGTGCCACCGCCACCTGAGGCAGACCCCGCTCCTGGGTGGCGTCATAGACTAGAAGAAGAAATCTGCCTCTCCCCTGCAACGGAGCCCTCGGCCAGGCTGGGCAGCGGGGCCCGGAACAGAGACCGCTTCACCGAGGCAAATCAGGGGGCACAGCAAAGCTGCCCCTGAGGGACAGCGGAGAGGTCCAGGCTGGGGGACGGGGGAGGGGCGACCTCCAAGGCCACAGTGAGCACAAAGCCGGTGCCCCACCCCCAGGTGGAGGGGCAGAGGGGTGGCCAGGCAGGCCAGCAAGGGACAGCCAGAATTAAACCCAAAGCTCCGACATTTACTTCCATGGCGGTCTGATGGGTGACGGCACACACGGTCGTGGGAGCTGGGGCAGGGCTGGCCCCTGCCAAGACCCCCGTCACTCAATCATGTGCTCATGGAAAACGTGCTGGTCCTTCACCAAGCTGTGTGCAAACAGGCAGCGCCAGGGCCCGCGAGGAAAGGCACGCCTGCGATCCCAGTCACTCAGGAGGCTGAGGCCCACCACAGAGGCCACCCAGAGGGGACGCCCTGGCCACGGGCAGGTGCAAAGCTGAAGTGGGGGGCTCCTGAGGAGCCCCATGTCAAAGGCCCTGGAGCAGCCAGGAGACCTGGCCATAGCCTGGGTGCTCTGCACTCCCTGCCAGCATGGGGCCTGCAGGGGAGGCCCAGCAAGGGAGGCTGAGGGAGGCCAGGCCCGTCCAGCAGCATCTCCAGGAAACTGCAGTGTCTCCCCAGCCACTTCAGATCCATAAAAGGCTGCCCGGAGCTCCAGAGCCGCTCTGCAGAGGAACTCCAGCCAGAGGAGGCCTCCCTGCTGCCCCAGGGCCAGCCCCAACAGGCTGGTCACACTCTCAGAACCCACCCCCTGCCTGGCTCGAGAGGACCTGGAGGGACATGTGCCCCCAGCAGGGCAGGACAGTGGAGGCCAAGCAGCCCCTGTACCAGCAGTTCCAGAGGACCAGGCAGCAGGGCTCTGCTCCTCCGGGTAGGTGGGAGAAGACATCAACTGCCCCCTTTGATACCACCTTGCCAGTGGCCCTCAAGTGACCCAGGGCGAGCTCCAAACAGAAGTAGCACCTGAGGCCTAACCAGGGCCACAGCCAAGCTGGGGAGGAGCTGGGTCCCCCATCAGGGGTCCAAAAATCCGGGGAGGGGGGCGCAGCGTCAGTGGCAGTGCTGGGGGCAAGAGGCAGCCCGGTTCATCTGTGTGTCTGTCCATGCTGGGTTGGGACAGGCTTCCCATCTAGGGTATAGGGCCAGGAGGAGGAGGGCGGGCTGACCCTCTCTGCTGCCAAACAGCGCCCAAGCCCAGGCTGCTCCAAAGGCCCTCCCAGGACTCAACTGAGTAGAGCTGGCCCGAGGCGCCCCTAGCGGGGCCTCAGGCGCCCAGGCTCCTCCACTGGCCGCCCCCGCACCGGGGCTGCTGCTGGCCGCCTGGAGCACGTGGTGCAGGCACTGCCGGCTGCTCTCCCTGCCCCTGCAGGCGCCCCTGGCAGGTGGCCCAGCCTGGGAGAGGCCAGGAGGGGGCCCCCGCAGCCCAGGCTCCTTGAGGACACAGGGCGGGCTAGAGGTGGGTAGCGGCAGGCAGCCCAGCGGCCAAGGTAAACCCCTTTTAGCACGGCGTGGCCACAGGGTGCCTAGCTCAGGGAGGAGAGGGGGCAGCAGCCATGCAGAGGAAGGCTAGACTGTCCCGTCTCCGGTGCACTGCAGGGTGGCCGTGAAGGGGACAGGCCATGCTTCCACCACCACCTGGCCCCTGACCTCTTCCTAGACAGGAGACCCCCCAGAGAGCAAGCCACTGGCCAGGGTAACTTAAGGAAGCCCACAGCTCCCTACCTGTGGCACAGAGGGCGACAAAGGTCTGCGCATGCTTGCGGATGATCTGTTTGTTCTCCTCGGCCTCTGGCATTTTGGAGAGGAAGTGTTCGATGAAATCGTGGGGGGTCATGGCAGCCAGGTTCCACTTGAGCTTGTTCACCAGGAGCAGCTCCATTTGCTGCGGATAATAGGGGACAGGCATCAGGACAGGCAAGTTACTCCCTGGGGGCCCCGCAGCCCTAGCCACTGGCCTTACATTCTGTTTGCAGACTTGGGGTGGGGCAGGAAGGTTGCAATGTTCGAGGTGCAGAGAGCAGGGCAACGTGTGACCCCAGACCAAAACAGAAAAGGTGAGAGTAAAAAGGCTCTATCCCACACTGAGAAGGAGACTGCTGGGGACAAAAAGACCTCCCACCGCCTGGAACCCAGAACTTGTAATCGGCAGTGCAGGCCGCGAGCCGCTAGAGGGCGCGCGCCGCCCACGTTTCGGCACCTTAGGACGCAAATGTGGTGGGAGTCGGGACTCTGGGTGCCCCGCAGGGGTGGAGGCGGAGGGGTTCAGTGTGCAACAACAGAGGCCCCGCAGTGTGGACGTTCCCTGGTGGCGCGGGAGACCTGTCCGAGGTGGGTTCGGACTCCTGCCACCTGCACTCCCGCCTCCCCACCGCCAGCGCGGGGTACCGCGGTTAACTGGGCGACAGTGCGATGGGGTCCGCGGTTACCAGCAGCTCGTCGGGTCGGATGGAGTTGTCAGTGTAGATGCACAACTTCTCGGCCGTCAGGGGGATAGTCTCCTTCATCTTGGAGGCCACGAACATGCAGGTGGCCCCCAGCAGCTGCAGGCGGCTCTTCTTCAGGGGCTCCAGCGACAGGAAGCGGTCCAGGTAGTTCATGGCCAGAGGGAAGACCTCCTCCTCGCACTTCTGCTCCTCGCAGACCTGCAGGGGAACCTGGACGTGATCGCCAATGCCGGGCCCCCGCAGTGCGACCCCGCGCCTCTATCCGGCCCGCGTGGGAGGGCGCAGAGGGTAGAGCGGGGAGTGGCATACGCTTCGCGCGATGCGCTCCCTGCCGCGTGTCCCCAGTGCCCACCCAACACGAAACTGAAAGTCCGCGCGAGGCAGGCGGGGCGGGTACCGTGGGTTGGCGACGAGGGACCCCGGCCCCTCCCGGGAGCCACGGGACTACGATAGGGGACACCAGGGCGCAGAGGGGCCACGGCTGCCCCGTGCTGGGCGCCGCGCTCGCCGCCCTGCGAGACACAAAGGTGGCGTCTCAGGCCGCCGCGCAGCATTTCCCCAGACGTCATCTTTTCAAAAAATATTTAAAAATATTTAAAAAATAACTAGGTGCCTAAAACCCCCCTGAAAACGCTCCTCGGGCGGCCCCTGGCACACGCTGGGGGTCGGGAGCTGGTTGAGGGCTCCGGGGAGAGCTCCAGGAATTCAAACTCCGGGACCCCCCTGCCCCCGGCGCGGGCGCTGCTTCCCTCTCGCAAGGGCACCACGCTGCACTTTCAGAAATTATTTAAAAATACTTTCGGGCTCCTGAGGCGTTTGCTGAAGGCCTGAAAATGTGCCCTGGGCCCCCAGCTCGTCCCAGAAAAGTCCCTTAAGCAGAGACTCACGCAGACGGGGGGTCAGTCCCGGGCGTCTCGGGAGCCACGCGACCTTTCAGCCCAGCATGCTCTCCAGCCCAGGCTGCCTGCGCGGGGCGTCTCGGGCCCGATCCGTGAACAAAGGGTCCCCTCCCGAGCCGGGTCCCCCCAAAATAGTCACTAAGCATTACCGCGCCCCTCCCGCTGACCGCGCGGCCCCTCACGCCTGTCCCTGCGCCCCGCCGGCCACTCCCCGCCCCCACTCTGCCCCCAATTATTAATAAACACGTTTGCTTTGCAATAAAAGAGCAAAGATGGCGCATAATACTGGCACGAGTGGCCCTTGCATACGTGTCCATGGATATTAATTTAAAAAAATCAAATCTATGCCCCCTCCCCCCGAGCCGGCGGCTCCGGGCAGCCACGGGCAGCCACAGCCAGACAGGCGCAGCGGCACTGGGGCGCAGGCGGGGGGCCACAAAGGGCGCCCCGCCTGCACCCTCGCAACCCACGGGGCACCCTGGCACCGGCTTCCTTCGAAGGCACCTCTTCCCGACCGTCCCCCACCAGGAAAGGGAATTTCTAATGCCCCAACCCCCCACACCTTCCTTGTTCAAAAATACCCGCAATATCTTATTTATTTTGAAAAGACGGGTTCCTAACAACACCCCGACAAACTTCAAAGTTGAAGGGGAAGAGAAGGGAGGGAGATGAGGGGGGACATGTGGGTTTGAGCAACAAGTTGAAGGAAAGTGCTAAGAGAGCAGCGAGAAGCCCCGCACCTCCAGCATCCAGGTGGCCACGATCTTCCGCATGGACGGCAGGATCTCCTTCTGCACACACTTGAAGTAGGACACGGAGGGAGCGCAGGTCTCCTCCGCCTTGAGCATGGCCCTCAGCACTCGGTCGTTGAGGAGGTTGGTGTCTGGGTACGCGCGGCGGATGGACTCCACTTCGCAGCACAGGAGCTGGTGAGCCATGGCGGGAGCTCTGCCTGGATCGCTCCGGAAGGGCTGCGCGTCTGGGTTCGGTCCGCGCTCGGCGCTCGCTCCTGCTGCCCCACGCTCCCTCGCGCTCTTCTGCCCCTAGCCGAGCGCGCTGACTTTGCTGCTCACTGCTACTGCGCCGACAGCCTTCTGGAGGCTCCAGGACTTTGCAACTTCAACAAAACTCCCCTGTAGTCCGTGTGACGTTACTGTTGTTAAGCAGAGATCAAAGCCGGGCAGAGAATGGGACGGGGGGGGGGGGGGCCGGGGGGGGGAGGGACTGGGGCGGGCGCAGGGGGAGGGGGCGCGGGCGCAGCGCGCCGGGAGCAGCGAGGGGCAGAACCCAAAAGCCTGTCCCGCCGCGGAGTTGCCCCTGAAGTTCGGTTTTCATAGAAATGCAAATCGCCCCGCGGCGGCCTTTCTCCCCGCGGGGAAAGAGAGGTGCAGGGGGGCCGTCCTCCCCGAGTGGGTCACCCGGGATTGGGGGGTGGGAGTGGAGGTGGCTCTGTGAAGGAGTACAACTAAGAGAGCGAGCAGGCCACACGCAGCTGGGGGACACCGCGTAGAAGGGGGGCTCTGGGGCGCAGCGACACTCTGTATCCGAGCCGGGAGAATGGGCGCATTTCCGAGAACGCCACGAGGGCACCCACGCGCGGAGAGAGGGCCAAGGAACCCCAGCCTCTACGTCTTCTTTCATTTTCATTAACACGTGTAAATTTCAGGAACCATCTAGCATGCGGGGACGGGGGCAGAGCACACAACGCCGGTGGCGGCTTCATCCCAGAGCACGGGGGTCGTTGCAAGTACCCAAGAGGGCAGCTCTGAGCATTAAAGACTTCAGCCTAGAACGCGCTCGCTCAAAAAATAAAATAAAATAAATGCCCGAAAATTCCAGTAACAAGATGGTGGCCAGCATTTCCTTCATCCTGTCCCCGTCTGGGGGATCTGTGGATTGTCTTGCCTACCATGACCAGTCAGATCTTGCCTGGGTCCCCAGATACCTACCCCCCACAGTGCCTGCAATTTATCCGGGAGAAACACACCTTTGAATGGAAAGCTGAGAAATAGTGGTCTTTGTCCTAACTCATTTTTAATTAATAAAAAATAAAATGCTTGGGAATATTAGTCTCCTCTGCCTGGGAAGAGACCACCGGAAGCTTCCCAACTGTTTTTGCCAGGTGTGGAAGTTCCTTTCCCTTTAGAATTTGCCTTAGGGCTGCATTTGTGAGCGCGAGGGGGCTGGCAATAGCTAGAACAATTAGAATTTAAAAGTTTAGAATGAGTGTAGGGATCTGATGATTTTCAACAAAATCTATACGTGTTCCAGGATGCAGGAAAGGGTCCCTAATATTCCCTGCAAATTTAGAGTATTTATAAGTTCTGCCTCTTTTGGTACTTTCAAAAATTTAATAAAAGGACATCTTACACATTTTTTTTTTAAGTTTTACAACATCTACCCCACCCCCAAATTAAAACTGTTCATTTACTTCTGAATGTAGTTTCGTGAATCCGACCGCAGTATACCCCGACAGTAAAAGGATCAAAAGAATACTGATGCAAAACCCCCTCTCCCTCGAAAGGGTGCCTAGCAAGAGGCGACCCCCACCCCCTTTCAGGGTCCGTTTCTCTAGCCACCCCTCCCCCGCCGAGAATTAGTGTTACTAATATTCCGGGTCCTAGAGGGCACTGACCCCCGCTCCAGCCCGGGAGGTGGTGGGTGGCCCGGGCAGGGCGCGCCATCCGTGTGTCCCCTCCCCGGGCGCCCACGCTCGCGCTTGGCGCCAGCACCGCGGAGCCTCGGAGCACCAGCCTGCGCACGAGGGCGGCCCGGCAGCTTTTTCATTCATAAAATCCGGACCGGGCGGCTGCCCGGGTGATTTATGGGGCCGAGCGCTATCACCGGCGGCGCCCGTCCCTGGGGGCGAGGGGTCCGAGCCCCGCGTGCGCTCTGGCGCGGCCAGGCCGGGACCAAGGCTCGCGGGCGAGGGGCATCGGGGCATAAAGGGGCTCGCCCACTCCGGCGACACGGGCTCCGGGTCCCGAAGGGAGCGTCCCCCACCGCGGGAAAGACGAGGAAACTGGAATTAGCATGAGCCAATGGGGGCGCCGCGTTGTTACTAGGCGGACCGGGCAGATCTCGACGAGGAACTTCGTTGATTTCCAGGCTCAGGGACAGGCGCAAAAGTGCAAGCCTCACCGGCGAGCGAAAACTGCCGTCCAGGAACCCGCGGGGGAGGCGCTGGAATTTGGGGCACGGCAGGGAGCGCCAGCAGCCCAGCCCCCTACACGGGGCACTCTGCTAGGCCAGCTCTGAGACCCGCGAGGGGTCCACCAGCTCCTGGTCCCTGAAGGCCATTACATCAAGAAGTGCAGAGGAAGCACTTTGATTTTGATTTTTTTTTTTTTAAGGAGAAAAACCAACTTTAAAAAACTTTTCTGTAGCAATTTAATTTGGCACTGTCTTTTTAAAACCCACCTCGAAGCAGGAACTACGAATTCTGGGCTCATTTAAAGTGCTCTGCGCTAATTTCTTGGTGACCATTTGGAGACAAAGGGCAAGTGACCCAGTCGGAAGGGAACCACGTTGGTTGGAAAGAAAACCCAAAAGTAACTTAAATCACCTTCCTGCTTTCCTCTCTGCCCCCCCCCCCCCTTCGGTAGCCGAGGCCCGGAGGAGGGTCGCCGGGAGAGGGCGAATTCCGCCGCAGGCGCGTGTTTGCCACCGTCCCTGGCTGTGGGAACCTTCATTCAAGCGGGGGAAGGGAGCGCGCTCATTCAGGAACCCGCGCGGCCCAGACCCCAGGACGTTACGCGGCTGCGCGCCGCCGGGATGGGGGCTTTGGGGAGGGGTGTCCGCCCAGCGCGGAGCTTCCGCCGGGATAGAGCTCCCGCCCCCGCCCCTGGGGAGAGGCCGGGAGGTGAGCGGGCGCACCCAGGTGGGGTCACCTGGAGCCGCATACCTGGCGGCAACTTGAAAGGCCTTGGCTCCTGCCCTGCGAGTTTGCCATTGTTAAGCCCTTAAGTCTCCCAGGAAGACGCTTCCGAAGGCCTGCCCAGGTTCCGGGGGCGCTGGGGCTCCCCTTCCCCCACACTGCCTGCTTTGGGGGCGGGCAGGGCGGCCCACGTGTTGTGGCAGCTCCTCCGGGACTGGGAGGCGCTGCTCCTGGGTGCCCCAAAGCCGTGGGCGGGCGGGGGCTAACTCCAGCCTGGATGCCCACCCGGGACAGCCACGTGTGGGAACCCTGGGGACTGCATCCCCGCCGCCTCTGGCGCAGACTCGCATTTCCGCCTCTGATCAATTAATTTGAGCCGCACACAGACTGTCCCCAGCGCCCCAGCGCGGGCCCCGCAGGCTGCAGGGAGACACCCCTCCCCCTGCTGCGGGCCGCGGGCGAGGTGTGCGCGGTACAAAGCAAGCCCCTCGGGCAGGGTGGGCCTCGGCTCTAGTGGCAGCTGGGATCCCCGTTTGGGGGTGAACAAAGATTCCAACTGCTCGACCCCACCGCGTTCAATAGAAACCCCAAAGTCCCTAAGAGTCGCCTTCCGCGTCTGGCCCCGGGCCCGCCTCGGACCAGCAGTGGGGAGGGGGCGCGCAGATGGAGAAGAAAGTCACCGCCACCCCAGGCCAAAAAGTAAAAAAGTCTGGCGGGATGGGGTAATGGCCTCTGAGGCCACGTCCGGGCCTGGCTTCTCGTGGTCAAGCAGGGCCGCCGCCCACCCGAAGCTCAGCAGACTCTCGCACCAAACGAAGGTGCGGGCCGCCGCTGCGGGGCTTCCGGGGGGCGTCCTGGGCGCTCCCACCCGCCCCTCCCGGAAGACGGTCTGCGCGGAGGCCCGGCCTCGGCGCCTCTGCCTGCTGGCGCGAAGCCCGGGGGGGGGGGGGTCTCGGTCCTTCCGCAGACCTGGGGGTGGGAGGAGGGCGCGGGGTTTTTGTGCGGAGCCTGCGAATTCTGGGCCTCCGCACACCGGCCGAGGAAGGAACGGGAGGGGAAACGGTCCCCAGGTTTGGGAACGAGGTCGCCTGCCCAGCGCCCGCCCCCTGCCCGAGATCCCTCGGGCCCCTCCACGTGGGCTGACGGCGGAGGCGCGTTCAGACCCCAGGCCGAGTCCGGGGCCGCGGGCCGCGCTGGGCCTGGCTCCCCGCTGGGGTGTTGGTGCGGGGCTCTTTCGCCGGGGGAGGGGAGGAGGCGCGAGCGCGAGCGCGCGCTGTGGGACCCGCGGTCGAGCGCCGCGCGAGGCCGCGCCGTGCATTCCGCGCATTCCCGCCGGGCCTGGGTTCCGCCGCCACGTGGTGGCCCTGCGCTCCGCGCTTACCGTAAAGCCTGGAGACGGTGCGCACCTCGGTTCCCCAGCTTGAGAGGAGGACCGCCCCTGTACCCACCTGGCTGCGCCGTCCCGCCCCAGTGCAGAACCCGCGCAGGCTCCGGCGTGTAGTAGGGATCGCTGGTTTAGGTAACTAGAAGAGCTGAACTGCCGTGAAGTCCAGCAGGAAGGAGGGTGGCCAGCGCCCCTCCCGCCCCCCGTGTGTGCAATGGTGGGGGGCTGCCCAACTCTGAAACCCCACAGAACCGAACAGGGAACCATCATGCCTCGCCAGCAGCCTTAGAGGCTGGAAAGGAGTCGCAGCCTTCCGGTTGGTCTTCTTCCTTTTCCCTGATTATTCACAATCAGTGGTTCAGTGCAAGGGGAAGGGGGTCTGGGACGTGCTTACAAACAGTCCATAACATGGTTATAACTGATTTTAAAAAAATAGAGTCTGGGGCTGGGGATGTGGCCCAAGCGGTAGCGCGCTCGCCTGGCATCCGTGCAGCCCGGGTTCGATCCTCAGCACCACAAACAAAGATGTTGTGTCTGCCGAAAACTAAAAAATAAATATTAAAAAAAAAATAGAGTCTGAAGGGTCTCTTTTCTGAGGGTCAGTTTAGTCAAGATTCGGCGCCCCCAGGAGTCCTGAGCTGTTACCTGGAACAAGATTGTTGTCTGCCTCGGGGAACTCTGGGGTAGGGGGCCACCAGGGTCCTCCCTGGGTTGTGACACCCCCTGCAAGCTTGGATGGGTCTGGAGGAATTTTGAGAACCCTCCTGGGCCCTCTCTCCAAATCCATGCTTGAACAGAGGGCTCCCTCATACTCACAGGAGCCAGGAACGGGCCTCTATCCCTGAGGGCCTCCAGTGTCCCCAGTCTAAGGGAAGCACAGCAGGCCCGTCTCTTGGGGGGGTTCCACCCAGCTCCATGTCCTCTCCCAGGGGGTTGACCAAGGGTCCACTGTTTTTATGCAGTTGACGGTGAAACTGAGGCACAGAGGAGCCAGGTACCCTGTCCAGGTTGGCAATGACGGTGGCCGGTCGGAGCCCACAGTCCTGAGCAGGAAGCCACAGCCCTCCACCTCATGGGTCCTGTCGGAGCAAATCAGGCTCCTCAGAGACGCTCGGGGGGGGGGGGGTAACTTGGGCTTGCAAGAATCCCTGCCAAGCCAAGCCACTTCTTTTGCAGGATGTCAGGAAGTTGGCGACCATATGTAGGAAACAGAACAAGAGTGTGACCCAGGCCCCCACCTGCCAGGGGCTGAGAGGCAAGTGTCCATCCCACCTTGAAGTGGATGGGGGCTTTCCCTGGCGAGGCCACAGGGAGGGGGATCAAGGTACCATGCAGGAGGCTGGGCAGAGCCACTGGCCGGGCCTCATTCATGCCTGTGTTCTCATGCAGAGCCAAGGCCCGGTGCTGTGTGGAATTAATTAAAGGTTTCAATTTATATTCAGACAGAGAATTTTTCAGATGACTTTGTGCTGAATCAGCTGGCTTCTCCTCGGCCTCCGGAGCCGTTCACGACCGTGAGACTTAAACTACAGAGAAACTGAGGTTGAAATAAGCCCCCCCATAAACCGCCCTCGGGCTTCCTCCTCGACTCTCCCTCTGCTTGCCCTGCAAAAGGGGGACCGGATTTGATTTTTAAAAGACAGACAGACGGGCACCAATGAGGGCCCAGAAGTCAGCGCAGGGGTGAGGGGCAGAGGTCTGAGGGAGCCTTCTGCTGGGCCATTGGTGGGATCTCTGCCCAGGGCAGTCACCCCATTGCCCAGCCATTCTGCTCAGGCAAAGGGGGACAGTCACAAGTGAAGTGGGCCATAGGTGGGGTCAGCAAGACACGGGGTGGGGGGGTGGGGGGGGCAAAGAGCCGCCTGGCCCAGCCAGCTGACGGCTCATGTCAGCCAGGGCTGGGACCCCTCCCTCCAGGCGCCTCGCCCTCTGTGTTCCTACAGCAAGGCGGGGAGTCGCCGTGGGACCCCTGGGAGTGAGGCTGCTAGACCCACCAGCCTGGTGGGGGCCCCTGTCCCCCGACTCCCTGGTCCACCTTCGTTGCCCCTTTGGACTCCGGCCACCTGCTAGCCCACAGACAGAGCTGGATGGCCGTCCAGGAGGCCTTGAGGCAGGACGGCCTGCCGTCTGTCCGTCAGCTCCGGGGGACAGGGCCCTGTCTGTTCTGTGCTCGGCTCTCAGGAGCCCCTCAGCAGAGCGAGATGTCATTGCGTCCCACCTGCAGGCAGCGGGGTTGGGGGTGGAGATCTGACTGAGGCCTGTCAGGAGGAGACCTGGGTCAGCGGGCCTGTCCTGTGGGCATGTCCAGCGGGTGTCAGGACACAGAGCTGAGCGCCCCAAGGAGACTGGGACCTGAAGTGCGTCCCTGTGGTGTCTCCCTTAGCACGTGGCCTGAGGGGGACTCGCCCACACCACAGAGGAGCCGGGTGGGGGTGACCCCAGGTTGTCCTTCTTGGTCACAGGACGGGGGGGAGTGTCCTGTGTCTGCTGTAGCAATGCCCAAGGCGGGGGCTGAGGATGGCAGACGTCTCTTCTCCTGGTTGCGGAGCAGATTCCAAACAGGGCTCAGCTGGGCCTCTCCCTCCGGGGTCCAGGAAGGCAGGCTCCAGCCTCTGCTGGCCCCAGTGTCCCTTCCTGTGGCGGCCTCATCCAGGCTCTGCCTCCATCGTCACTGTGGCTCCTCTTCAGTCTCTCAGAGGGACATGAGGTCACCATCGCGGGCTGGGGTCCACCCTCAACCCCACAGCTGGAGAAAGGGATGCGCTTCGTCACAGCCAGGAACGGGCCACCAGATCCTGTACGTACCGAGGCCTTGCTCCGTGTCCCCCCAGTTAGGGCTTCGCGGCAGGGGACAGGGTCCCGGACACACTGAGGTCTGCCTGTCCTCCAGGGGCTTCTGTTGGGGCCTGAGAGACGCGATTGGCAAGGCTTCTGCAGAGGAAAGCTCGTGACAAGGTGACCTGTGCCAGTCCTCTCTGCTGCCTCCCAGGGGCAGTTGGGCAGAAGTGAGGGGTGGCACGGCTGCTGCCCCTTGTGGGCCTCTGCTTCTCTGTCCTCAGCCTCCTCACCTGTGCAATGGGGTGATGACGGCGTTGGCCTCCCACGTCTCTCCGAGTCGGAGGCAGTGGGCAGGTGGTGTGCCCGGTGCCCGTGAACCCGGCTCTCTGGGACTTGCGCTTCCTCCCAGTCCCGCACTCTGAACCTGCGCGGGCGGGCGGAATGGAGGCCCAGTGGGGAGTCCTGCCAACTGTCTCCTCAGTGGGATCAATCAGAGGCCAGCAGACCAGCGGCCGCCTGCGGTCAGCGTGAAATCCTGCCACGCTAGTTCAACGCGCTGCTGCCAGACGTCCCTGCGTCTTCCCAGGTGCCCCGTTCCTTCTCTCCTTCCCAGGGTCTCCTGGGTAGGCAGGGGCTTGCAGCTGCAAGAGGGAAGCCGCTGAAGGTCAGCGTGGGTGGGGTGCCAAGCTTGGCATCGGCCTGCCACCCAGTTCCCACGCATGGCTCAAGGTCAGAGCAGCCCCTGGGACAGAAAGACAAAGGTGAGGTTGGGGGGGGGGGTCAGACCGCCAGGAGGAAGGCAGGGGAGGAAGGAGGCAGTTAGGAGGAATGCGGGTGCTACTGACCACCCGGGCCACAGACCACCTGGCCAGCTCTCTCCCAGACTCAACATCACTCCCCACAGCATCTCATCTAACTGTGGGAGCAGCCTCCACCGGGAGTCACAGTCCTGCTTTACAGAGGAGGAAATCAAGGCCCAAGGGCATTTAGATACAGAGGAGCAGGACAGCGTCTAGCTCTGCTGCACACACACAGGAGGGAGAGCGAGTGGCCAGGCACCTTCCGGAAAGCCCCAAGATGCCGTTCACAGAAGAGTTGCAGTCCAGTGGCTTTTGGCACGTGACAGCATTCCCACCATCGCCGCCCCTGTCTCATTTGTGAACACTGTCCTCTTCCCCAGAGAACTCCCCTGACCATTACCAGGTACTCGCCTGGTCCTTACAGCCCCGGCCACCGCTGGTCTGCTTCTGGTCCTGTGTCCTGGACACTTGGCATAAACGGAGTCAGAAAGCCTGTGGTCTCTTGCCTGATTTCTTTCCCTTAGTAAAAGGTTTTCAAGATTCATCCACATTGTGGCGTTTATTGGTACCTTTTCATGGCTGAATAGTGCTCCACTGTATGGGCAGACCACCTTTAGTTTATCTGTTCACTCCCCCCCTGGAGGGCACTCGGGCTGTGTGTGGCCGTAGGACGCGGGTGTGCAAGTTCTTCTGTGGACGCCTGTTTTCCTTCCCTGTGTGCACAGGGTCCACATTAGCGTGGATCACTCGAGAGTGGGTTCTGGGGGCTTGAGCTCCCTGGGCTTGGACCCCAGAGAGACCCTGGTCTTTCCGAGAGGACTTCCTCGCTTTCTCTCCCTCCAGCCGGGCCCTCCCCGGCTGTGGTCCTTCCTCTCCCTCTTGCTCACGCTGCTGAAGTCTGCAGACAGACAGCTCTGCAGGAGAAACCGGGTCAGAGCCGGGGATGCTCAGGGGTTGGCACGGCCCTGGCACCTGTGAGGCCCTGGACTCCATCCCCCGCACCATAAAGCGAGCGAGAGAGAAGGGACTTGATTATTGCTGTGACGTTAGCTGTGACAGGGTGGCGCTGTCCTACCTAGCGGACGGGTTGGTGCACCCAGCTGTGAGTCGATGGTGCGGATCTGCGAGGTGTCATGTCCAATGGTCACTGGACAACCTGCACCTCTGTCCCCCAGAAGAGACCTCCGCAGGCAGCCTCCTCCGCCTGCAGCCTCCTCACCCCGGGGCTGCTTGTGTGATTTCTCTCCCTACCTCCTGCTGCTCCCCGAGCAGGCACTAATAATCTGGTCCCGTGGGCACCAGGAAAATAAAGAAATTCTTAACCTCCTCTCTTCTGTTGCGTTCCCAGTGGCAGGGACCTCAGCCTCCTCTTTCACCAAGGGGCCAAACTGCCATCTGCCCCATCTAGCCAGCTCCTGGGGTTTCCTCTCAGCACAGGTGTGCCAGGCAGCTCTCCGTCACTGTAACAAAATACCCAAAGGTTTATTTTGACTCAGTTTTGGAGGGTTCCGTCCAGCTGGCTGGTCCTGTGGTGGCGAACCATGGCAGAAGGTGAGAGACCAGGAGGGGGGTCACACCCCCATTTGCTGAAGGACCTCCGGCCTCTCTTAAAGCTGCACCACCTCTGGTGACACTGAGCTGGGGAGCAGGCCTTAACATGGGGGCGTTGGGGACATCACATTGTACCCTGTGGTGCAGCGTGACCCCTGCTCACTGAGGCTTCACTCTGGAGGACTGACGGGTGAGCCCCTGGAGCAGCCCGCCCCGTGACGTGACAGGGTGTGCCAGTGCGCGGGAGCAGGAGGGGCGACCTCTGACCTCTGCCTGCCGGACACCTCTGGGAGGAGGGTGACGTGTGGCAGAGCCTGCCAGGGTGTGTGCGTGTGTGTCAGGCACGGCTGGTGACAGACCACTCCACACAGCACAGGGGCTGCTGTCCTCGGGAGCCCCAGGAGGAGGCCAGGCAACACGCGCACACACACACAAACAACCTCTGTCTATACACCTCACACACTTGCACACCTGCACACAAGCATGCCTAAACACACACACCACACACCGAAGCACGTGTACACAGAATATACACGTGTGAACACGTGCATGCCTGTACACACGTGACGCACACTCATACACCCCCTAACACAACGTGCTACACTCACATGCATGTCTAGACACACAAACACACCCAAACACACCAGCACACACACACTCAAACTCATACACACAGCACACCATGTAAACACACGGGAGCTGGCCTTGTGGCCGGGTGGCACTGACCCTTGGATCAGTGGGAGCTGACATCTGTGCAGGCGGGTCATTCTTGGTCCACTGGGGGCTTGAGATGGGTCCACTGCAGCTTAGAGCTCCAGGTCTCCCCCAGGCCCCTGGGTCACAGGCTGGGGCCCCAGGGGGTGCACCCTGGGGGTCCTCAGGTGTGGGTTGAGCCCCTGAAGGCAGCTGTGGGGCTCTGGGCTCCTCCTCTTTTGCTTCCTCGCCTTGAAGGTCCACAGTTGGTGGTGCCATGTGCCACCTGCCTTGGCCACCCACACCCCACCCAAGTGCAAAGCAGTGAGGTCACTGAACTGAACAGAAACCTCCAAGACTGTGAGTCTCAATAACCCTTTCTCTTTATAAGTTAATTATCTCAGGTGTTTTGTTACAGTGATGGAGAACTGTCTTCTTCACTCTCGTGGCAGGTGTATGTGTGTGTGCTGTGCATCTTTTGTTGGGTTTCTTCCTAAGTATTTGATATTCTTGAAGCCAGAACTAGAAAGGCAGGCGGTATAGACAGGTAAGTCGAGTCTGGTCAGATCAAGGAGGCCAATTTTGAGTGAGTCCGGAAAGATGAAAACTCCCCTGAGGGATTGAAATGTTAATTCCTGGGAGCCCTTCCTCCACCCTGATCCAGACCCTGCCCCTGCCCGTTGCCAAGGTCACCTGTCCCCAGAGGGCCCCTCCCTACAGGGAGTCCTGAAGCTGTGGGTTACTGTGTCCAGGGCTGTCCACCCTGCCCTTCCCCCTACCTTTAGGCCACCCCACCAGCACTTCCTAGGCCTCGTCACACCCGCAGGAAGGAGGAGAGAAGAGGAGGAGAGCAGGAGGACAAAGGACCCTGGGACAGATAAAGAGGGCAGCCTCCCTTCTTGGCACACCAGGGTACAGCTATGGCCCCTTCTGCCTCCAGGCAGGAGTCTGTGTTACCCCAATTA